GAATAGTTTCCAACTTCAGTTGTACCTGTCTGTACATGACCTTAACATCACATGAAAAAGTATGAATGTGTACATAAGCACAATTCAATCTATATTGACCTAAGGTTTCATCCCTGGATTAAATGCATCTGGCCTGGAGGTTAACTGGAATTCTACATAAGAATGCATAGTTGAAAACTGATAGCTACTCATTAAATCTATGGTACACAATTTCATTAGTGACAAGATCAGCTGCACGATTAATATATGAAACTAATGCCTTTCACTAAGTTAGACCACTGGTATTTTCTTTTCTAATAATGATTTTTACACAATAATGTTTTTATCAGCTAGAGAGAATTTTAAATAGGAAAAGAGCAGGGATACTATATAGAGTTTAATGTGGGATTTTCTGCATGCAAAGTAAGAACTTCAACCACTGGGCTCCTGTAGTTACTGCATCATATAGAAGGGAGAGCTAAGGTGTTGTCATATTGTCAAATATGAAATCTAAGACTATCAACCTTTGGGACCACATTGTCGAGCTCCAGTCCAGGGCTTGACACACACCTGAGGGGGAAGCGGGCAGAGAAGCGGCTGAAGCCAATGGTGGTGTAAGGAACGGCATGGCAGTGATACCGTCGGCTTTGGCCACTTCTCCGCCAGGTGTGTGTCGAGCCCTGGACTGGAGCTCAACACGCATATTCAAAAATGAAGGCTCAAGAAAACCCAATGGCCGTGAATTACAACATTCTGATAATTCTCCATGCTCATTAGATATATTTAGTAAGGTCAAAAAGATATCCTGGAAATAAATGAGATTTCCTAAACCTCATCATATGGTAGTCAAAAAGAAGAATTTGCACTTGGATCCACAAGTGATGCAAAAGAGAACACCAAACAAGGTCATTGTCAAGATCTTCCATTTTCTCTTGTTGCTTGGGGGGATGGGATCAATGTTCATTGTTTAATATTCCTAAGGAATGTTATCTTAAATTACTTAAAGGAATATATCAAACAATCATCAACAACATCATTAGGAGTTTCATGAAGCAGATTGAACTGTACCAGTATATTAAATGAAGAGAAACTTGTTTAAGAAGTAGAGGTGACTGTGGCCTACAAATAAAAACCAGAAGGATCATTGGCTGTTGATCCTCCCAAATAAATCCCGTAATGAAATCCTGGAAACCATCACCAAAAAGGCCTTGATTTTAAATCTTCAGAGACTTGTGACACTGTGATAGGATCTGCTAAAAGATTATTGAATGAGTTGATTGCCTAACCATGCTAAAATGTTTAGCTGGGGAAAGATTTGGGGGTGGGATTTAACATCTATCTTCTTTAAGTAAGCAGCAATCCAGTTTCCTGATGCCTTCAACATGCCTCACTTCTATTCTGATGATATATTTGGACACTCAACTGTTCAATCCAGCCAGGAATGCCTAGGCATGTGGCTGAAGCATTCATAAAATGTTGCACTCATATAGCAACTCTCTTCTAAATGGGAATGGAATCGGACATATATGGATGTCCACAAAGTGAATTAAAATAACATTGAATGTGTTAATTATAAAAATAATGCATGGAGATGCACAAATGTGTGCAAACGTGCATGTGCACGAACATGCACATGCACAGATATGTGTGAATGAGCTCATGCACAGATATGCGCGAATGTGAGCATGTGCGGCAGAGACCCAAAGACTAGCTGGCTGGTGGGAGTTGGGGCATCCCAACACCGGCAACCAGGCAAGAAGTAAGATCTTTTTCTTTCATGAGCTTCTGTTTCGTTGTTTGCAGGGAAACAGAAGCTCACAAAAGAAACACCACGGAGATCTGACCTAGAGCAATGGCGCATGTGCCAGCAGAGAGGACTCTGTGTGCCACCTCTGGCACTCGTGCCATAGGTTTGCCATCATGGACTTAGACTTATATACCATTTTACAGTGCTTTACAGCCCTCTCTAAGCAGTTTACAGAGTCAGCATATTTGGGTCCTCATTTTACCCACCTCAGAAGGATGGAAGGCTGAGTCAACCTTGAGCCTGGTGAGATTTGAACTGCCAAATTTGCAGGCAACCAGCAGTCAGCAGAAGTAGCCTGCAGTACTGTACTCTAACCACTGAGCCACCATAAAATAATAATTGCAACCTTGGGATTGCAATGTGATTGAAGCTCCATCCCTTTTTTTACATATATTGCACCTATGATACACATAAAAAGGGCTGTAACTTTATTTATGTGGTTGTGGCTACCATCTTAACATTTTGGAATCCTGCCATATGCGGCCCTATTGCTCACCATTCTTCTGAAGTTCGTTTTTCAACAAAGAAACAAAAGTCCTTCTTTCCTGACCATGTCATTTTGTAATTTTGCAAAAAGAAAAAGCAGTGTACCCTATTTTATTCCTACTTACTAATAACTTTTCATTTCATGTCATCTCTTTTTGATTTTAAAGCAGAGGAGACAATCTATTTGTTTTGGAAATTTTGTTGATCTGTTTGCTTTCAGCTAAAGAATGGGAAATCCCTGTCTTAATTTCTTTTCTTTTTTAATTATTGGATTTAAGCCACTCAATTCTTTCTCCTGAGAACACATATCCAAATTAAATTACAGGAGTCAACCAACTCACTTGTGCTTGAGTCCTTGATCCTGTTAATAAGGGTCAACAATATGCCTAGTGGGGCCAGGGCAGCCCCTCCAAATAATAGAAAATCTTGCAACACTGCTGATACTACAACAATCTTATAAGCTCTTCTTAAACAAAGTGGCTGCATCTTTATGAAACTTCACATAAACTGCCAAAATCTCAACTTTTACACAAAAGCACTGAAATTCCATAAAATCATGAGATTTACATTTTGTTGCCTAAAAGTGATTTTTCAAAAGGCAACTGGACTTTGTTTTTTCCTTGAACACATTTTGTTTCTCATCCAAGAAGCTTCTTCAGCTCTGGGTTGAGAAGTGAAATGTCTTCAAGGAAAAACAAAGAAAGTCCAGTTGCCTTTTGAAAAAGCACGTTTGGGACAACCATGACCTGGATAGCTGAGAATTTCCATAGGTGCTTTTGCTATCCAGTGCCAGATAAAGTTGCAGACTCCATCCTAGTAATGCTAAAAAGTCTGCAATAATTGTAAAAGTCGGGAACAAACTGTTTTTGTTTTCTTGTTTTTGAATGTTTTCGCTTTCAATGAGAGTTTGTTACAATAAGAATGCCACTTCTGTTTAAGAAACCACACTATACTTGGTGGATTGGAGCACTCTAACAGGAAATCTTTGTCACTGTTACTGCTGAAATAGAACTGCAGAAAAAAACAATTACTACCAACCTGCCTTCCATTGAGGACCTGTATACTGCAACAGTCAAAAAGAGGACTGTGAAAATATTTACAGACCCCTCACATCCTGGACATAAACTGTTTCAACTTCTACCCTCAAAACGACACTACAGAGCACTGCACACCAGAACAACTAGACACAAGAACAGTTTTTTCCCGAACGCCATCACTCTGCTAAACAAATAATTCCCTCAACATTGTCAAACTAGTTATTAAGTCTGCATTACTATTAATCTTCTTATCGTTCCTATCACCCATTCTTCTCACTTACGACTGTAACCTTATTGCTGGTATCCTTAAGATTTATATTGACTGTTTCCCTATGACTATCATTAAGTGTTGTACCTTATGATTCTTGACGAATGCCTCTTTTCTTTTATGTACATCAAGAGTGTATGCACCAAGACAAATTCCTTGTGTGTCCAATCACACTTGACCAATAAAGAATTCTATTCTATTCTATTCTATTCTATTCTATTCTATTCTATTCTATTCTATTCTATTCTATTCTATTCTATTCTATTCTATTCTATTCTATATAGGACTTCTGTTTTCCAACAGTACCTTCCAGGTTTCAGAACGATATATACTTAGTGTAGTTCTGCAAGAAGATGGTTCCAATTCCCATCTTCACATAACTTAAAGCCACAGTTGTTAAGTGAATCACTGAGGTTGTTAAATAGATAACACAGTTGTTAAGTGAGTCTAGCTTTCCCATTGACTTTGCTTGTCAGAAGGTCGCAAAAGGGGACCACATGACCCTGGGACACTGCAACTATCATAAATACATGCCCAGGTGCCAAATTTTTATCATATGACCATGGAGATGCTGCAATGGTCGTGTGAAAAACAGTCATACATCACTTTTTTCAGGGTCGTCGTAACTTTGAATGGTTACTAAGCGAACAGTTGTAAATCGAGGATTACCCATATAGAAGTCCTGATCAGTTATTTTCTACCATCTGGACTAGTCATTTGATTGTGCCTTATGTGTTTGCCACCTTGGAGGCAAATACCTTACTAATGAACCTTTTTTTTTTTTTTAATGGCCAGGATTAACATAAATCCTGCAGGGCCAAACATTTGTAAACCAAGCACTGGGTGGAATGGATAAACATTTCAGCACAAGGAAAACTCTAGTCCTGCTTTCACTTCATTTTACACTCAACCCTGTATTTATTTTAACAGGAGAACTGCATTCCAGCATCTGTTCCCCCTCACATCTTGCAAAACACACACACACACACACACAGAGAGAGAGAGAGAGAGAGAGAGGGAGGGAGAGAAGGAGGGAGGAAGGACAACAACACAAACACACTTTGTTTTTTCCTCCTGGGCCAAAAAAGGAAAAAGAACCAGGTTAAAAATGATTGTGCAAAACAGGAGGGGAGGTTTGTGTGCTCTGTTAAGATTTGCAAACGCCACCACACGTGTGCCTGAAGAAACGGAGGAAGGGATGAAGGCAGCGAGCCCTACCTTTTCAGCCACCTTGTCAATTTCAGGTTTCAGGTCGGGCATCGCCTGAGCCGGGAGCCCCCTTGGACCCAAGTTGCCTGCCTGCCCTTGTTTACTCAAGAGGGCTGCGCTGACGGCGGCGCGTTCCTTTGGTTTACTTTGCGTTCCTTGAGTTTATTGTAAAAAAAAAAAGGGGGGGTGAAGTTTTTCGGATCCATCACGTGACCCCGACAGGTCCTGCCTATTGAGAAAGCCAGACCACCCACATGGAGAGGACGATGGAGCGCTTAATAGAAACAGGCAGGCAATTGTGCGCCTTCCCCGCACTCCGCCGATTGCCTGCAACCTAGGAGGATTATCCTGGGTTTCGGGTTGGGTGGTGCGCGCGTTTGGTGTTTTTTTTTTTTTTCTCCCCCTCCTGGGCTTATTTTATTTTGCCATTTCGCGTCTTTTCCGATACGGAACGGGGTGGCCGGCCCGAGACTGGGGTGTGGGGGGTGTGGGGGACCGCAACGAAGGGAGCCCGCCCAGGCAGGAGGAGAGCGGAGGCCAACTGATGCGCTCCTGCCGAGTCCCCTGCGTCTGCGGCGGCGGCAGCGCGACGTGAAATCGACCCGGCCCTCCGGGAGGCTCAACTTTTTTTTTTTTTTTTTTGCCTCGAGGGAATTTGGGATGAAAATGGTAAGTAAAAAGAACGCGGCAGCGGGTCCGGCACATGGGCTCGCGCGGGAGGGTGAGGTTCGGGAAGGGAAGGGAAGGGAAGGGAAGCGGCTGCGAGGTGGAGACGGAGCTTCCCGGCCGGACGGGCAGAGCCTTCAGAGAAAATGGGAGTCCCGGTCTCGTGGTGGGACGGGCTGAGGCTGAGGGGAGAGTAAGCGAAGGACGGGTTATTGGCAGCAGGGAGGGAGGGAGAACGAGAAAGAGGCTGCCTCGCCTCGCGCTTGACACTGGTGCGCGCGCTCGCTCGGGCTCGCGCTCGCGCCTGCCGCGGCCAAGGTGCCCCTTTTCTGGTGGCCGGGAGGGCGGCTGCTACCGCCGCCGCCTCTGCCTCTGAAAGTAAAATGGGTTGGACCCGATGGGAAACCATTCGCTCCCTGAGAGGGGAACTCTCTCCATGTTCACACTTGGAAGGGTCGTTCTGCTAACCGGTCCTTCCTGGGGGCTACGGAGCCTTGTCGAGGAAGAGTGTGGGGGTGTGGGAGAGATGGGGGACTGGGGAGACAGGGGAAATACTACATGTCCTGCCTGAGAGAGCAAATGGTTGCAGAGCGCGCGGGATCTTGTTTTGCTGAGGGGAGGAAGAGGAAGAAGAGGCATTGGAAGGTCGCCTCAGGTTGCCTTCGCTTTCTGCCCCGCCCGCAAGACAGATGACACCTGGCTGCAAACGGCATTTAAAAGGAAAGGTGCTGAAGAAGCACAGAGAAGGAGTGCGAGGTCTGTTCTGAGAGCAGAAAGATGACAAGCTGTATCTTCTCCGCCTTCGGGAAGACTTGTGTCGCTAGCTCTAAGAACCGGTCCTTGAAACGGCGGGGTCCTCCCTACCCCGAGTGTAAAGGACTCTCGTAGGCCAAGGAGGCTGTCCTCCGCCTGACTTCTTCATTGAGAAATGCCAATCCCTTTCAGATGTCCATGGAGATTCTCAGTCATCCAGCTCATGGTTGTACCAAAAGTGATTTTTTTTTTCAAGAGGCAACTGGGTGAGAAGCTTCTTGGATGAGAAGCGAAAGGTCTCTGAATCCCTTTCAGAATGGAAGTGGCTTTGCTTTCCAAACACACCTGTAGGGGGACCAGAGTGGTGCAGCTGATTAGCAAAGGGTGGATGTGTGAACCCATCCTGGAGGGGTCTTCTGTGGTGGGGAACACAGCCAACCCAGCTGAGGCTGATCCAGAGTCATCCTTTCATACTGGCGGTGATCTTTTGAACTTCATCTTTAGGTTACAGCTTAGTAGTTAGTCAGAGCAGACCACATAGTTAGGAAACATGAAGCCAGACTTTGGGAGGTAATAGAAAACCAGCAATTTCCTTTTTATTATTATTACAGGTATCCTTAACTTATGACCACAATGGAGCCCAAAATTTATGTTGTTAAGTGAGACATTTGTTAAGTGAGTTTTGCCCCATTTTACGACCTTCCTAGCTACAGTTGTTAAGTGAATCACTGCAGTTGATAAGTTCGTAACTCGGTTGTTAAGTGAATCTGGCTTCCCCGTTGACTTGGCTTGTCATAAGATTGCAAAAGGTGATCACATGACCTTGGGAAACAGCAATGGTCATAAGTATGAACCAAGCATCTGAATTCTGATCACATGATCATAGAGATGCTACAAAGGTTGTAACTGTGAAAAGTGATCAGAAGTCATTTTTTTCAGTGCCATTGTAACTTTGAACGGTCACTAAAACTGTTGTAAGTCGAGGGTTATCTGTATTAGTTTGATCACTGATGATGCTATTATATATGCTTCTATCATGTAGTAGCTTCATCTGCATATTGTATTAAGTCTTGGGGTGGCTTTTGGGATTTGAAAGTTATGGTTTTTAGGTCTCTATGATATGTGAACTCAGCCAATTGTGAGTTCATGGATCTGCAGTATACATGAAGCATCTGATGTGTGAAAAACAATTTTGAAGTAGTGAAAAAAGAATTTCCTTGTAATAGAAAACAGCAACAGCAGCTAACACTCTAAGCACTGTTTCTGTTATTGCCTAGATAAGAGACTTTAATTGTATACATACTTTTTTGTAAAGCTTGATCCATGAGGAGTAAGTGTTATTTTGTTCAATAGGACCTACTTCCACATCAAAATCATAGTGTCAATTTTAATTCCTTTGATTTGGAAAGTGTTTTACAAACACAACAGAATATTGATTCCCTGCATTCTTACAGATTGCTCTCATTTGATAGATGGAAAATGGAGTTTAGGATTGGCCATCAAACCATACTACTAAGCAGTTAAATGCTGTTTGAAACAAGCAAACTTGTTTCTTTTCAAATAAATATGGTTAGGGTGGAAGTTTGTAGACTAATTTTCCTAAATCTTAAATTCCATAATCATTATTATAAACCCAAACACACCTGGAAGGCAACAGTTTAACAAATTGTTATACATGGTGTCTTTTTCTGGGCCACCCAGGGCATAATGTATGTGCCCTAAAGCTGAGGAACTGAGACATCTTTCTCCTGGGTCCTTTCCAATCTTCTGGATTTACCACTGTAAATAAGTGTGGTTAAGAAACCTTCAAAGCATACTAAACACTGGAGCCTCATAACCAGACTTTGGCTTCAGTGCAATTTGTCTTCCTTCTTGGCTCCTGGCATCACTGTTAGAACAAGGGACTTTTCAACACCGTTCTTCATCCCAATTCATCCAAATTTCAACGTCTTCATTTCTGTTTTCCTCATGCAAATGGGTGTCCACAATTTACAGGACATGATGTGTCCTGTGGATTTACCTGGATTCCAGATCCTTCAAAAATCAATAGAAGTTTTGTCTATAGAACCTCCCATAGGAAAAGCTGGGCTTTCTGAGCTTTTAAAAACATATTTTTAAAAACACATTTTAGACATTAAAGACTCAAAGTAGTTAAAAATAAAACCAGGTGGCTGGAACATCCCCTTCACCTTCAGTTAATGGGCAATAGGCCGTGCCTAAGTAGACATTTTAAAATAAATATTTCCTCCTCTATTCATTCCATCCAATGTATGTGTTCATTTATTTGTGGCATAGGATCATGATAATTTTACTGCATATGGTAAGAAGATTAATTTCCCTGGATCACAATGCTGAGAAGGAAGAGAAAGTACTCACCCCTCTCTCTATTTTTTTTTTTTTACAATACTCCTAGTTGGTTTCATACACACTAGATAGAAAATTGATGAAACAATTCCATCTGAATTAAAATATCAGTCTTCTCTGATTTTATCCTAATTGCAAGTTACATACCTGCCTTTTATTTCCTCTCCTTGTACTAGTTGTACAAAATAATGAGAGATGGACACACAATGCATTTAAAGCAGATTAGCAACATATTTTTTTTAAAAGACAAGATTCTGAATGATTATTTCTCATGTCTGTATGTCTACTAAGTGTGTTGATGCAGCAGTGGAACTGAAAAAGTGTGTTTATTATTTATTTATTTATTTATTTATTTAGTAGTTCGATTTATATGCCACCCTTCTCCGAAGACTCAGGGCGGCCTACAATGCATTAAGCAATAGCCTTCATACTTTTGTTTATACCTGCTTAGTAGGGCTTTTTGGCCCCCCCTAAGCGGTGTTCTTTTTTATACAAAGTCAGCTTATTGCCCCCACAAACCAGGTCCTCATTTTACCTACCTCGGAAGGATGGAAGGCTGAGTCAACCTTGAGCCTGGTGAGATTTGAACTCTCAGTAATTGCAGGCAGCTGGCAGCTAAGTGCTACTTTAACAGTAGCAGTTTAGTCTGCTGTGCCACCAAGGCTCTTTGGTGTTGCTGTAGTTCTCCCCTTCTTCCTCCAAGATTCAGTCAAACTACATAAACAACAGGCTGGTTTCCACCAAATAGGCAGCAGTGTGAATGAACAAGACTGATAACTTGTCTTTGGGTAAGAAATCATCCATTGGATGACAACACTCCTGTTTTCCTCTTAATGCAACACTCCTGTTTTCCTCTTAATGCAACACTCCTGTTTTCATGTGAGCACAACATTAAATGTAGAGTTCATCTGCTATGTTTAGATTGGGAACCCAGCACATCACCTAGAAGAACACAGGGCTAGAATTCTAGGCTGAATTGTTTCAGATTGAAGTTAGATTGAATTCCAGGATGCCAGAATGAGGAACCTTTGGCATCTGCCAGGAGCCCTCTGCTGGCCAGGTCACAACATTTGCCAGTTTCCCACTAGTAATAATTGGGAGGGTTGTTTTCTGCTGCTGTTTGTCAGGAAGGAGAGTAAAGTAACTGAGCCTCTTATCATACAGGTTTAAAACATTGAATCAACTTGAAAAACACAGCCCCACCCACTTCAATGATGAGCTTCATTTCCCCCTCTACTGTGGCCTCTGAACTCCCCCAATTTTCCTCCCAAAAGATATAATCCCAACCCAAGCAACCTTGCTTTCATGTATTTCTTTGATGTGCTTCAATGGGGATGCTAAGAAGAGGAGAGAAATCATTCTTTTCTTGTTGTTCTGATGGAGTTTTAAAAAAAAACCAATTAATGTACTATTCTTTCTCCCTTTGCTCTAAGACAGTATGTCCATTGCCTTTTCATTTTGTGTCACACACAGTTCAACTCTTGGTATTGATTGGGGCTAGGAAAGGTAGGTCAACCTGCCATGGGATCAGTCTGTACCAATCAATGAAAGCCAGGTTAGTTTACATGAAACATTTTCCTAGATCTAAAGGCTCTTCTGCCCCAGTTGGAAAAAAAAAGGAAGGAAACACTTTTTCTACTTTTTAAAAAAGGGTAGAAAACTGACATAAAATGTCAAAATATTTAATCTCTTTATCTACAAACTCTTCCTTCCATGAAAAGCATTGGAAATGTTGTTTCCCAGCCCAAATGATACTTAATTCTATTTTCTATTTAAATACTTCTTATTCTATTAGCTCTGTGGGTGGTAGACACCAGACTATAGTTTTCAGAGCCATATTGCTTCCCTGGGAACTCATTCCTGTCCACTTATCTCTGCTTTCATTC